TGGTTGCAGCCGTCATTGTTGTTTGGCGGGTCTGGGCTGGGGATTCGAACCCGCCACCTTAGGTGTACGTGGCTGGCGCCTTAGCAGGTTGAGCCACAGGCGCCGAGCCTCTATAGATTCTTTAAAGCAGAGGGTAGGGTTCCTCGCATTGAACCAGTCGGTCCTGCTCACCAGAGTGCCCTGCTTCTCTGGCAAAACAGGTTTGCCCTTGGTGGCTTTTTCTGAAGTCACATAACTCATAAAAATACTTGATGCCCTTTTGCCTTCTAGAACTTTTCTTACCACACAACTTTTCTTTCTTTCTTTCTGTTTTTTTTTTTTTTTTTCAGACAAAGTCTCACTATGTCACCTTCAGTAGAGTGCCATGGCATCATAGTTCACAGCAACCTCAAACTCCTGGGCTTAAGTGATTCTCTTGCTTCAGCCTCCCAAGTACCTGGGACTATAGGTGCCCACCACAATGCCTGGCTATTTTTTTGTTGTAGTTGTCATTGTTGTTTTTAGCAGGCTTGGGCTGGGTTCAAACCCGCCTGCCTCAGAGCATGTGGCCAGCACCTTAACCACTGAGCTACGAGTGCCAACCCACCACACAAGTTTATATGCAAGAGCTCTTTTATTTAGTCCTGGCTGCTGAAGCACAGAGAAGATGTGCCAGGGACAGGAAACAGGCCTTGGGGCACACTTCATGCAGAGCCCACATTGGCCTCGCATCACCCATCCCTGCTTCCCCAGACAGCAATTGGTCTGCAGCAAGCAGCAGGGTCTCACTCTCACCCAAGGGCAGGAGGCCAGGTCACTGCTCTGGGCAATGGGACTAAAAGAGCAGGCTGGGCGTGGTGGTTCGTGCCTGTAATCCCAGCACTCTGGGAGGCTGAGGCAGGAGAACTGCTTGAGCTCAAGAGTTGGAGACCAGCCTGAGCAAGAGCAAAACCTTGTCTCTACTAAAAATAGAAAATCTAGCCGAGCATCATGTCAGATGCCTGTAGTCACAGCTACTTGGGAGGCAGAGGCAGGAGGACGGCTTGAGCTCAGGAGTTTGAGGTTGCTGTGAGCTATGATGATGCCACAGAACTCTACCCAGGGTGACAGAGTGAGACTCAGTCTCAAAAAAAAGAAAAATGGCATTAGAAGAGCAGTAATAGCTTTCTCAGCTCTAATATTAGATTATATTTTATATTTTATATTTCCACCATTACATCTGCTTCCTGAGATCGCCAAAAATAAGAAAGGGTGAGCCACGTCTAAATTACCACTAGAAATAAAGGACTCAAGCGTCCCTTTTTAGCTGAGGCCACAAATAGCCACCCTGACCACAGGGATGGCTTGGCATCCTCACCAGCTGTCAGAGAGCCCTGCGTTTACTGGGTGCCTTTTACATACCCACATTCTTCTAAGCACTATATGTATATTACTTAATTTCATCTTCTAAGCAATCCTACTAGGGTGGGCCCTACCATTATACCCATTCTACACAGGGAGAGACTGAGGCACAGAGAGCCACAGTGACTGGCTTTTGGTCACACATTAGCAGGTGGAGGAGCCCGGGTGGGAGAGACCAGGCTGTGCCAAGCCCCTCTCACCTCAGCCAGATCTCAGCTCTTCCCCTTTCTGTGGGAGCCAGGGAGCACTGCTGAGAAAGTCGGTCTCTACAGGGAATATTTCATGTCCGCAGGCCAAGGCACTAAGACATTCCTTGGCAGAGAGGATTGTTCAGACACGTTGGGCCTGGGGAATTTCTAGTAGTTGATTTGGAGCCCAAGGTCAGCCTTCTCCAGGGTTCCCTGGAGGACTGAGAGGAAGACAGGAGCTCACCTGGATCAGTTTCATGGGGTTTGTCCACAAGGGCAAGGTTTTCTTGGCGGTGAGGCCGAGCACTGACTTGTAGACCACATCCAGCTGCGGGTGAAGAGCATACACCCCATCCAGTGTTTTAACGAACTGCTCAGTCACCAGCACGTTCTGTGGCAGAGAGAGAGGGGACCCATCATGATGAGGGCACCACTGTTGTGTGGTCTCCCTGTCCAGCCAGCAGGTCCTCTCCTTCCCACTTAAGCCAACACTGGAAAGTTTTTTTGTTTTGTTTTTTTAAGTTTTTGGCCAGGGCTGGGTTTGAACCCACCACCTCCGGTATATGGGGCTGGTGCCCTACTCCTTTGAGCCACAGGCGCCGCCCAAAGCTGGGAAGTTTTGTCTTTCCAGTTTGATCTGCCATGCTGCTCATAGCTTGGGATAGTATTGGTATTTTAGAGCTTGTGATTTGACTTGTAAGTTTCCTACATAATTTCTTTTTTTTTTTTTTTTTTTTTGAGACAGAGCCTCAAGCTGTCCCCCTGGGTAGAGTGCTATGGCTTCACTACTCACAGCAACCTCCAACTCCTGGGCTCAAGCGAGTCTCCTGCCTCTGCCTCCCAAGTAGCTGGGACCACAGGCGCCCGCCACAACGCCTGGCCATTTTTTGGTTGCAGCCATCATTGTTGTTTGGCGGGCCCGGGCTGGGGATTCGAACTCGCCACCTTAGGTGTACGTGGCTGGCACCTTAGCCGATTGAGCCACAGGCGCCGAGCCAGTTTCCTACATAATTTCAATCAGATGTTTTATTGCGTGCTGGTGGCTTGCCACCTGCTACCACCTTAGCTCTGTTCTCAGATGGCAGAGAGATACAACTATGGCGTTGTGAGGCTGGTCCTTAGACAAATATCCTCAAGTGTCTATGTCTACATGAGTGTTGTTTTTCAGAGCAGGTGCCCTGGAAGAGGACTCCTTATTCTAACGAATGACTTAAAACAAATTGGGAACTTCTCCAAACCTGGTTTATAAGACATAGGAGAAAATGTGTTCTGGGAAATAGTGTTTGATCAAACCTGGCCTCCACCAGTTGGATTCATCTGTTTCATTCCTCAGGTGTGGTTCTGAGTTACCCCTTTCGCCTTTTCAAAGAATTAAACCCATGCCGAAGGGCTAAGGACTTTGTAGATATTCTAGAGAATGTTCTAGAAGCATCTACAAAAGGAGGAATTCCAACCTTGGTTAGAGTGACGGCAGCCTGGTTGACAAAGGAAGGAAAAGGCTCAGACTGACGTGTTCTGGGAGGTTGGCTAAGAGCCAGCATTGTCACCATTCACCAGTTTTTGTGCCCTCTAGCACCTAAACAGCACCAATTCTGATGCTCCCTCAAACACTCCGAGGCAGTGGCTGGCTCCCTGTCTTCTAACCTGTACTACGGCAGGAAAAACAAATGCCAAAACAGTCTGAACCTGCGGCTGAGACTCAGAAGCAGGGTAGCACCTGGGGTGAGCGGTCAGAGCTGCAGCATGAGGGTGAGGAAAGGGCTCCTGGGCGGGAAGTCCCAGGAGCACAAGAGGGGCCTGGGGGAGGGAGGAAGGGCTGAAGGAACAAAGCAAGAAGAAAAGCAGCTATTTTTAAATAATGTCTTAAAATCTGTGGCAAATAGAAATCCAAATTTTACTGATTATTCACTTCCAGGGAGCCTGGGTTTAAATATTCAAAATATTATCACTGATGTAATTGTGAGGCATTGAAATCAGCTTACCAAACATAGTATTTGTGTGGCATTAAAAACGTAGAAGGACTTTAACATTGTACCTTTATAGAACGCTAGAGTAGGAGGCAGAAGGGTTTACTACTTGCTGTGGATTCTGGGCAAATGACCTAACCTCTCTGTTTCAATGTCCTTATATGTAAAATGGGAAAATGAGGAAAAGTACTTGTTATGGGTTGAACTTTTTCCCTTTCTCCCAAAAGATGTTGACGCTCTAACCCCCAGGACCTGGGAATGTGAATTTGTTTGAAAATAGATGATCAAATTCAAATGGGGTCATTAGGGTGGGTGCTAATCCAGTATGACTGTGTCCTTATGAAAAGGGGACATTTGGATACAGAGACAGGGAGAACGCCATGTGACTCTGAAGGCAGAGGTTAGAGAGATGTTTTTACAACCAAAGGAGCGCCAAAGATTGCCAGGAAACTACCAGAAGCCAAGAAAGAAGTCTGGAACAAATTCTCCCTCATGGACCTCAGAAAAAACTAACCCTACAACACCTTGATCTTGGACTTCCAGCCCCACAACTGTGAGCCAATACACTTGTGTTGCTTAAGCCACGCAGTTTGTGGTACTTTGTTACAGTGGCCCTCGGAAACTAATACAGTACCCTACTTACCTTCTACAGAGTAGGATCAAATGAGCTGGCATATATAAAATCACTTTGGGAAAAAAGGGCATGAAATGATAGACAGTGTAAGATATTGTAAGTATCAGCTACCACCTCTAGAGTGCCTGGCAGGAGTCTGGAGTCACCTCAGGCTTTTGTCCTTCATCAAGAGATGTTTTACCCACAAATACTACTCTGAGTATAGTAGGCCAAGTCATGAAATGAAAACACAAGTTTATGTATGTTGTAATATCCAGATTCTAATAACTCTGTGATTCTGAAACCATCTAGAATCCAGGGCCATTGGCTCGGCGCCTGTGGCTCAAGTGACTAAGGCGCCAGTCATATACACCTAAGGTGGCGGGTTTGAATCCAGCCTGGCCCGCCAAACAACAATGATGGCTGCAACCAAAAAATAGCCAGGCGTTGTGGCAGGTGCCTGTGGTCCCAGCTACTTGGGAGGCTGAGGCAGGAGACTCGCTTGAGCCCAGGAGTTGGAGGTTGCTATGAGCTGTGATGTCATAGCACTCTACTCAGGGTGACAGCTTGAGGCTCTGTCTCAAAAAAAAAAAAAAAGAATCCAGGGCCATTCATAAGCAAAGCTAATGGTAAACAAATTCTGTTTTGGAGTCCTCCTGCCTTTCTTTTTGGTGTTTCCTTATCTCTACTCTTAGAGTTCCTGGCCTGGATTTTTCTAGAATCTGGTGAATTATTTGGTGATGTTATTGACTAAATGATTACTCCTACAGAAAGGATCCCTGGAGAGGGCAGAGCTGTACCAAAAGAAGTGACCGTTTTGTGGAGCATTTGTGTGAAGGCTTGTGAAGGATAGAGCTGTGGGTCCTGACCCACTCACAGTGGGCAGGGTCACTGGCTTGCGCCAGGTGCAAGTGACTACCATTTGATCACTTACGGAAATGTCAAGCTCTTCCATCCTGGATTTGGGGTTCCTCTTGATGGACAGGATAAGTAAAAGAGCCCCATCCATACTAATAGGATTCAGGAAAAGCTATAGAGGGAAGGGCAAGACAAGAGGAGGCTGAGTCGGGGGCTGGAGAGGCTGGCTTAGACTATGGTGTCCACTTCTCACTAAATCACAACCTCTGTCTTCCTCCAAGACTTTTCTGTCAGTACTTGTCTCTCTGTCCATCTGTCTGTCCATCTATCCACCCACCTGTCCATTTCACTGCTCATTCAGCCAGCCAGCCACAGTTTGAAGTTGCTGTGAGCTGGGCTGATGGCACTGCACTCTAGCCTGGGTGTTAGAGTGAGACACTGTCTTTCCACCTGTCATTCATCCATCCAGCTGTCATCTTTCCATCCATATACCATCCATCCATCCACCCACCCACCCATTCAACCACCTGTCCCATTTCACTTTTCCTCCATCCATTCATTTATTGGTTCATCCATCCATTTCTCTGCCCATCCATCCTCCCACCCGCCTGTCACTCATCTATCCATCTGTCATCCTTCCATCCATCCATCCAACCACATGCCATTTCACTGCTCCTTCATCTATCCATTTATCCATCCATCCGTCTATCCTACTGCTTATCCATTCATCTGTCTATATATCCATCCATCTGCCTATCCCTCCAATGCATATTTATTAGAGGCCTGCCATGTGCCAGCCACTGGGCTGAGCACTGAGGAATGCACAAACACGACAAGATTTCTGCCCATAGGCAGCTCAATGCTGTAGCTGCAAGAGACAGGCAAACAAGCCAACAGCATCAGGAATGTGATGACCTTAATGACAGAGATACACACAGTGCAGGAGAAGGAGAGGAGCACACAGCACAGGGAGGGACCACGAGCTAAGCCTTGCAGGACTAATGAGAATTGGTCAGGTCTAAAGAAGGAGGAGGCAGGACCAGAGGAAGGAGTGAGATTCACCAAAGAAGAGAAGGTTAAGCAGTGCAAAGATGCAGAGATCTAAAAAAGCACGTGGTGTTCATGAGCTGGAGCAGAGAGAACCGAGACCACAGAGCTGGGATAGGCTATATCCTGGAGGTCCTTGTGGGCTTGGCTGAGGAATTAGGACATTATCCCAATGGAGTTGGCATCCACTGAAGTGTGGATAGAGGATTAGAGCAGGGAACAGGAAACCCACTGGCTCTGCTTACTAGCGTTGATTCCCTGTCCACCATGTACCTGTCATCTATGGCTGCTCTGAGGACTCAACATACCAGTTCAGGCAAAGGATTAAAAAGAGACTGAGTAATCACACCTATAATCCTAGCACTCTGGGAGGCCAGGGTGAGAGGACTGCCTGAGGTCAGGAGTTCAAGACCAGCTTGAGTAACATGGTGGGACCCATCTCTGTGCAAAACAAGAAAAATTAGCCCAATGTGGTGGTGAGCACCTGTAGTCCCAGCTACTTGGGAGGCTGAGGCAGGAGGATTACTTGAGCCCAGGAGTTTGAAGCTGCTATGAACTGGGCTGATGGCACTGTACTCTAGTCTGGGTGTTAGAGACCCTGTCTTAAAAAAAAATTGCCTGGGATGTAGCAAGTAGTAATGAACTTTAATTATTATTATTGTAGGCTTTTACCTGGTGGCTTCATGATGAAAGGGGACAACAATTTCACTGGGTACCTACTATGTGTTAGCTGTTCTCTAGTTTCTGATGTACTCAAGTGAGAAAATACAGAATTGGGCCCTGCCCTTATGGAGCTTAGCATCTAGAATCCTTTTCTGGACTCGCTTCCCAAGGGGAATTCCTTATTTTTCCAGGATTAAGGAAAGGGCTTCTGGGGTTGGATGTGGAGGACAACAGATACCAAATTTTGCCGTGTACAATAAGGTGACTAGATTTTAACATTGGTAAAGTGGGACACCATTGACCAGGTGAGGGGGGGAGGCAGGTAGTGGTGTTCTTAATTAAAAATTTGGTCTATATGGAGCAACAAAAATTTTCATAGAACGCAAAAATAGTATTATAATATATATTTTTTAAATTTCAACATAAGTACAATTTACAAATATAATACATTTTAAAAAATTATGTATAGGGAGGCACCTGTGGCTCAAAGGAGTGGTGCACTGGTCCACCTGGGTGACCTTGCCCAGGAGGGGAGTAGGGAGTTTAGCCTTTTCATTTCCAAATGAAGTTACATTAACCTCTTCATTCCCAAATGGAGTTACATTAACCTTTTCAGCAGCTGAAAACCTTATATTCCCTTCCCACTGTCCTGCCGTTCCCTAGCTTGTCATGCATTCTTTCCAAAAATTGGGACTTTTTTAAAATGCTGTGGGACGTGGGACAAATTGTTAAAAATCAGGACTATCCCGCCAAAAGCGGGACGTCTGGTCACCTTAGTGTACAACATGCTCCTGTGTATAATGTGACCCCTGTTTTGGGCCCCAACTTTCCGGACAAAAAAATCTTTCTGGGGTTTCCAATCTTTCTTCCTTTTTCTTATTTTTTTGAGACAGAATATCACTATTTCGCCCTCAGTAGAGTGCTATGTCATCACAGCTCACAGCAATCCCAAACTCTTAGGCTTAAGCGATTCTCTCTTTTTTTTTTTTGAGACAGAGCCTCAAGCTGTCACCATATGTAGAGGGCTATGACATCACAGCTTACAGCAACCTCCAGTTACTGGGCTTAAGTGATTCTCTTACCTCAGCCTCCCAAGTAGCTAGGACCACAGGTGCCCACCACAACACCTGGCTATTTTTTGGTTGTAGTTGTCATTGTTGTTTGGCAGGCCTGGGCTGGATTCCAACCCATAAGCTCTGGTGTATGTGGCTGGTGCCTTAGCCGTTTGAGCTACAGGCACTGAGCCATTGAGTGATTCTCTTGCCTCAGTCTCCCAAGTAGCTGGGACTACCGGTGTCTGCCACAATGCCCAGCTATTTTTTGTTGCAGTTGTCATTGTTGTTTGGCAGGCCCTGGCCGGGTTTGAACCCACCAGCCTGGGTGTATGCAGCCACCTAACCATTGAGCTATGGGTGCTGAGCCTTTTGTTTATTTTTTTTGAGATAGGATCTTGCTGCGTCACCTGGGCAAGAGGCTAGAGTGCAGTGGCATCATCATAGCTCACTACAAGGGCTCGAGTGATTCTCCTGCCTCCTGGGCTAGAGTGCAGTGGTATGATCACGTGATCATTGCTCCTGCAAGCTCTAGTTCCTCAAGGGATCCTCCTGCCTTCTGCCTCAGCTTCCTATGGAAATATGGGCACAGTGGGTGGCATGGAGCTGATTTTTCTTTTCTTTTTGAGACAAAGTCTCGCTCTGTCACCTGGGCTAGAGTGCAGTGGCATCATCATAGCTCACTGCAAGGGCTCAGGTGATCCTCCTGCCTCAGCCTCCTGAGTAGTTGGGGCTCTAGGTGCCCACCACAACATCATACTCTTTTTTTTTCTATTTTGTGTAAAGACTGGGTTTTGCTCTTGTTCAGGCTAGTCTTGAACTCCTAACCTCAAGTAAACCTCCTGCCTTGGTCTCCCAAAGTCCTCCCACTTGCCTGGATGGCAATTTCTTAGTCTTTAAAAATTCAGATCCTCAGAACTATCCTTGGCTTCATTAGTCACTGGGGCTGAGTCATCCCCAGCCTGAGGCACCTCTCTTCTCCACCCCAGCTAGGACGTCTAGCTCTCCTGGTTACCAGATGGCCAGTCTGGTCTGGTCTGGTCTGTGGTCACCATGCTCCTTCTGCCAGCCAGGGTCTGGTTTCTTCTTGGAGGGCAGGCTCATCCTCACTGTTTCCTCCCTTCCATTCTTCTCTCAGCAGAACCCCACATTTGCAGTCCCCACAACCACCGTCATCCCATGAGGGAGGTGGAGTTGTCATGGAAAGCCAGACAGAGCTGGCTTCCCTATGCCTTTTGCTATTTGTGTGGGCTGAGCCAGTCATAAAGCCTCAGTTTCCTCATCTGACAAGTGGAGCCAACAGAGCCTGCTTTATCAGCTGGGCCATGACTAATGGGGCAAACCATCTGACCAGGGACCTGGCTCATGGCAGGAGCCCCAGAATGGGGAAGGATTAATGGAACTCCTCATCTTTGTTCTGTTTCCAGCTGTCTAGTAGCATCTGCATTATAAGTTAGCATCTCTAAGCAGATTAATTAAAAATGAAACATGTGCTCATTCATTCATTAATTCATTGAATAAGTATTTCCAGGGCATCTGCCATGTGCCCAGCACTGCACTAAATGTGAGAGATATAATAACGGGCAAAGCCAAACAAAGTCTTTGTTCTCATGAAGCTTTAACACTAGTGGGTGTGACAGTCATCAGGGAGTCACTTGAGGAAGACTGTGGTCAGAAGTGCAGTGGCTTCTGCGGGAAGGAGTTAGCAGGGTTCTGGGAGCAGATATCCTGGACCGAAGGTCTGGCAGGGTTCTCTGAGGACCTGCTCAGAGAGCTAGAGCAGGGGCTCATGGAAGGAGGAAAGGAGTGGAGGAAGCCCGTGTGGCCTTGGTGGAGAGCAAGAAGAGCATGGGGGAGACTGAGGCTGGAGGGCAGTAGGGATTGAGGATCTGGACTTGGGCAGCAGGAGGCCATTGGGACTGAGCAGAGAGGAGACTGGGGGCCAGGGAAGGGTAGTGGAAGTCAGATCTGCATTCAGAAAGTGCACTCTGGCTGCACTGTGGAGAGCAGCCTGGAGGAGACCCAGATGGGAGGAGGAAGAGCAGTTAGGACATGCCTGGGGTGCACGGGGAGAGCCCAGGGCAGCACTGGGTTTACGGCAGAGAGGTCAAGAATCCATGCACATATGACATACAAGACAGATGTCCTCAACAATGGTCTCCAGGAATATGCAGCCCATCACCCTGTAGCCCCCACCCTGACACACACACACACACACACACGGGTGCGCACACACGTACACATACAAATGCACACACATACACATACATATGCATATACACACATGGGTGCACACACATATACACATACACACATACACAAACATACACATACACATATACACACACAGGCACACACACACACATACATACACACACATATACATATACACACATACACATATACACACACGGGTGTGCACACACATACATATACACATGCACACACATACATACATACACACACATACACACATACACATATGGGTGCACACACACACATACACACATACACAAACATATACACACACATACACACACGGGCGCACACACACGTACACATACAAATGCACACACATACACACACACATACACATACATATGCATATACACACATGGGTGCACACACACATACACACATACACATACACACATACACAAACATACACATACACATATACACACACAGGCACACACATACACACATATATACACACACATATACACATACACACATACACATATACACACACGGGTGCACACACACATACACATACACATGCACACACATACATACATACACACATACACAAACATACACAGACACATACACACACATACATACATACACATATATACACACACGGGTGTGCACACACATACATATACACACATACACACATGCACTCACACACACATACACATACATGCTCATACATATACACACACACATACACATACATACACATATACACACACACAGGCACACACACACATACACACATACACATATACACACACAGGTGCACACACACATACACATACACACATATACACGCACACACACATACACACATACACATACACAGACACATATACACACACAGACACACACACACATACACACACATACACACATACACACACATACACATATACACATACACACACGGGGGCACACACACACATACACATACACATGCATACACATACACACATATACGGATACACACACATACACACATGGGCGCACACACACATACACATACACATATACACATACACACAGGCACACACACATGCATACACACATACACACACATAAACATACACGTACACGTACACACATACACATACACGCACACATACACACACATACGCACACACACACATACACATACACACATACACAAACATACACATACGCACATACACACCCGCATACACACATACATACACACACATACACACACACATACACATATGCACACACACATGTACACACACATACACATACACACATGCACACACACACACACATACACAAAGCGGCCCCTTCCCAGCTTAGGTAAAGACTACCTTCAGGACTTTGAGGGTTTCATTGGCTTCCAGTCCTCTGCTGATTTTGGAGGCTCCATCGTTGCCAATGCTGTTGCTGCCAACATCTAGGTAGACCAGGGAGCTGTTGAGTCTGAGGACGTCCCCCAGGGCCAGAGCCCCTTCGTTCCCAAAGCCATTCATGAAGAGATCCAGCTTCTTCAGGGTCAAGTTAGCCTCCAGGAAAGGGGAGAACAGCACCCAACATCAAGGCCCCTCCCAGCTGGGCTCAGTGTCTCAAATACTCTTTTTTTTTTTTTTTTTGAGACAGAGCCTCAAGCTGTCCCCCTGGGTAGAGGGCCGTGGCATTTCAGTTCACAGCAACCTCCAACTCCTGGGCTCAAGTGAGTCTCCTGCCTCCGCCTCCCAAGTAGCTGGGACCACAGGCGCCCGCCACAACGCCCGGCTATTTTTTGGTTGCAGCCGTCATTGTTGTTTGGAAGGTCCGGGCTGGGGATTCGAACCCGCCTCCTTAGGCGTACATGGCTGGCGCCTTAGCCGGTTGAGCTATAGGCGCCGAGCCTCAAATACTCTTAAGACGCATTCATTTTGGCTTCTGGTCATTCCCAATCCCCTATTAAACTGCCCTCTTGAAGCATCCTTGGAGATGCCATCCAGGCCTCAGTAGGAAGGATTTACGCTAAAGAATTTGTGCATTCAGAAATTGTGGGAGGGAGACCAACAACTTGAGAGCACCTGATGAGAGGTCAGTATGTCCTCAGCTGTGGCGCCCATGAGGAAGAGGTTCGTTACGGCAGGACAGGAGGCCCTGGCTGCCCTCACCCCAGCTCAACACACCATCCCACAGAGCACCTTACCCGGAGACCATTGCACAGGGCCATAGCTCCCCGTATGTGGAATTGATTCCAGCTCAGATCCAGCGATGTGAGCCCTACATTGATGGCTGGGAGAGGGAGGAAGTCAGCTTAACATCCCCCACGTCCCAAAAAATCCATTCTCAGCATTAACAGACAACCATGACATTGGGGATAATGATCGCTCCATGGCCATGCAAAGGAAAACACTCAGCAAATACCTTTTTTCGGTTATTCATTTAAACTGTAAGATGATTCTCAATTCTGGAAAAGATGCAGTGAAATAATCCTGCTCATATATTGCAAGCATCAAGTAAATCGGTATATCCTACTCAGCAAATATTATTTGGTCACAGAGTTTCCAATTTTTAAAAAGTGTCTACCCTATCACACACCTCTGAGATGCTACCTAAGGAGACAGTACTGAGTAAGGGAAGAGGGAGGTGTCCGCACGTATTTCTATCTGGTGGAATCGTGTGTATTAAAATGGATTCGCTGGGTTGCATTTAATTAGAAGACTGGGATGAACATGGTGTATCAAGTGATGGCATATCATTTTCGTGGAGCACCACAGGAACAGTAGTGAGAGCCTCTGTGGACACCATCAGCTGGAAGGAGGGAGGCTTCAGGCTTGTTGAGAAGATGGGTTTGCATAAAAGTCACACTTTTTTGACTTTTTCCATGTTCCATAAGGTCGTGAACATATCCTACTTCAGCACATTATTATTGCTATTTTTATTTGGGGAGGACATTTATACTGAGGATACCATCAAAAGGTGAAGCTGAAGTCCTCCTAGGCCATCACTGAATGGCAGAAATGGCTTCCTGGGGCCATAAGAAAAATATTTTATCTTATTCCTTATGGACAGTGCACTGATCAAGCTTCTCTGTGCCAACCCCCAGGATGTATTTCTAGTGAAGCACACATCATCTTATGTAATTTTGGAAACACACTTTTTTTTTCTTTTGCAGTTTTTGGCTGGGGCTGGGTTTGAACCCGCCACCTCCAGCATAAGGGGCCAGCGCCCTACTCCTTTGAGCTACAGGCGCCACCCTAGGAAACAGACTTTCTGCTCCCTTCTTTCCCTTGCCTTTCCCTCCCCTGGCTCCCTTGCCTTTACTCCCTCTTCTCTGCCACTTCCCTCATTTAAGTAACACCTTGCACATCCACATCTCTTAAATAGCCACACCATTTAGACTGAATTCTGCCATCACCACTTACTGGCTGCGTGACCTCAGGCAGCTCACTTATCTTTCTTTTACTTCTGTTTTCTTCATCTGTAACATGGAGATAGTAACCTATATGGGGTTTTTGTGAAGATTGATGTAAAATGTCCAGCACAGTGTCTGACGTCTACTAATGACTCAGTTATTTGGTAGCTTTCAAAATAATATTTTAACATCTGCATTTGCAGTGTGCTTATGACCATCCAGGAAGACAGCACAATCTGGCTCACTTTAAATTTATGTCCTCAGTTTTCGGTCTCAAACTGCCCCACGCTTCCTCCTCTCCCACTGGCTGCTTTATGCCTTTTTCCCTCTCACCAGCCCTTGGGGCTGTGCCACCTTCTCAGCTGAAGGTCTTGCTTCACACGGCACTGAGGACACAGCGGCAGCGAGACGGAAGAGGCTTCACACTCGCCCACGAAAACCAGCCACACATCTGCACCTGCGCCCACGCTGGCCTGTCTGTCTCTGCACAAACGAACCTTCCCTACTGCTCGCTAAGGTGAACCCCCTACTTTTATCTGGCTGTCGTTGTCTCCAGCCTTCTCCAGGACTTTGCTCCTGTAATGATCTCCTCTTTTGCCATCAGCATCAGTTTCTTCCTTTTTATTCCTCTTAGCATTTTCCATCCTTAAAAACCCTCTCTGCCTCCCTTTGGCTTCTTCCCGGTCTTTCTGTCCCTGCCTTCCCAGCAGCACCCCTGGGGTTCCCTACAGTGCTCTTTCCACCTCATTCTCAACTCAGCCTGCTCTAGTTGGGTTGTCATACTCACCTATTTCACCAAAACAGCACCTGTCCAGGCCACCAACTATCTCCAGGCTGCCGAGTCCTGTGGTCACTTTTTCATCCTCATCTTTCTTGACCTCTTAGCAGCATGGACCTCAGCGATCTACGTCCACCTTGAAATACTCCCTTTTCAGCTCCTCGAGACCTCCCTTTCCTGGTTTCCCTTCTATTGGACTGACCGCTCTTGCTCAGACTCCTCCTCTTTTGCAAACCCTAAATGATCTCTTCTGGTCTCATGGTTTTTACTACGTCTCTAAGCCCATGACTCCCGGTGTCTATCTGCAGCCCTGACTTCTTCATCAAGCTCTAAACTCATGTAGCAAACTGTCTGACATCTCCACACAGCTGATGAATGACCATTGCAAACATCCCATTGCACAAATGGAAACTGGACTCCTGCCCCTCCATGGCTGCTACTCCCCGAGTTTCCCCCACCTAAGTCAGTAACACCATCAGCCAACCAATAGCTAAGCAAAATGGCCCATCCACCTTTATTTCTCCCCTCCCCCATTCTTCATGTCAGCAAGTCCTTCTGGCTTTACCCCCCAGATTTATTCTGAATCCATCCACACTTCACCACCTCTTGCCTGAGTCAAGCAATTATCCTGTCTTGCCTGGACCACTACAGCAGCCCCCAAATCAGTCTCCTTTCTTCCATTCTTGCCGTTCTCTGCTGCAACCTTCATACAGCAGATGGAGTAGTTATTCTAAAACTAGAGCTCAAATTACACTCCTTCTCCATTTAACATCTTCCGGGAATGCATCCGTCACACATGGAGTAGACTCCAGACTTCACCCATGCGCTGGCTGACAAGGCCTGATGTGATCTGGCTGGGGGCCACCTCTACTACCTCTTCCCTTTCCACCCTCCTCCCTTGTCCTCTCTGCTCCAGCCAACTCATCCTCCTACCCCCAGCCATGTTCCTCAAACACGTTAGCTCTGATCTCTCTGCCCGGAACGCTGCAACTCCAGAATTTAGTGTGGTTCCTTCTTCTGTGTTATCCAGATATCTGCAAAAATCCACTTCCCTGTGGGCTTTCTCTTATCACCTGCCTCAGTGAGCACCCCTTCCCCACAAGCTACAAGCAGCCTCCTTTTTTCTACTAATTTGCTCAGGACTATTATCTTTTTCTCTTTTAGAACAACACTTCAATAACCTCCTCACACATCTCTCTGTGTATGTGCAAGAGCTTCTTTGAGATAATCCCTTTATAGGAGAAAATTGTTGCATCATAGAATATACACATTTTTTTTTCTGAGATACAATCTCACTCTGTCGCCCTGGGTAGAATACTGTGGCATCATAGCTCATAGCAACCTCAAATTCTTTTTTTTTTTTCTTGAGACAGAGACACAGTTTATCACCCTTGGTACAGTACCTTGGCATCACAGCTCACAGCAACCTCCAGCTCCTGGGCTTAGGCAATTCTGTTGCCTCAGCCTCCCAAGTAGCTGGGACTACAGGCACCCACCACAACGCCTGGCTATTTTTTTTTTGTTGCAGTTTGGGTGGGGCTGGGTTTGAATCTGCCACCCTTGGTATATGGGGCCGGCGCCCTGCCCACTGAGCCACAGGCACCGCCCAGCAACTTCAAACTCTTGGGCTTAAGCAATTCTCTTGCCTCCTCCTCTAAAGAAGCTGGGACTACAGGCGCCCGCCACAACGCCCGGTTATTTTTATTTTTAGAGATAGGGTCTCTTTTTTTTTTGCTCAGGCTGGTCTCTAACTCCTAAGCTCCAGCAATCCACCACCTGGGCCTCCCAGAGTGTTAGGATTACAGACAGATGTGAGCCCCCACACCTGGCAATATACACGTTTTCAGTTTTCCTAGGTACCCTTAAGTTCCCCCAAATGCCTTTGCCTAATGGCTTATGAATATTCTTATTTCTCCCTACTGTCCTCAGCCTTTGATATTCTCTGACTTCAAACTTCTACAGCTGTGGTAGCTGACACGGGGAAAGTCTTTGCTCTTTTATTTTTCATCTCTCTAATTAGTAAAGTGAGCGGCTATTTGCCTTTCTTCTTTTGCTATCCATGTGCCTCGACTCCCGTTCTACTAGGGTATTGTAGGGTCTCTTACCAATATTCTGAACACTATTTTTTTTATTTTTTATATTTTTATTAAGTCATAGCTGTGTACATGAATACTATCATGGGGTACACTGGGTTGTTTTTATATACAATTTGGAATACTTTCATCCAACTGGTTAACATAGCCTTCATGTCATATTCTTAGTTGTTGTGTTAATGAACGCTAATTTTTATACAAATGCTGCAAACATCTATTCCCTGTCCATTGCTTGTCTTTTTTTTTTTTTTGAGACGGAGCCTCAAGCTGTCCCCCTGGGTAGAGTGCCATGGCATCACGCTCACAGCAACCTCCAACTCCTGGGCTCAAGCGAGTCTCATGCCTCAGCCTCCCAAGTAGCTGGGACTACAGGTGCCCACCACAGCGCCTGGCCATTTTTTGGTTGCAGCCATCATTGTTGTTTGGCGGGCCTGGGCTGGGGATTCGAACCCACCACCTTAGGTGTATATGGCTGGCGCCTTAGCCGCTTGAGCCACAGGCGCCGAGCCCATCGCTTGTCTTTTAAGTTTGTTCGTGCTTGTGAGTCTTGTATCATATGCATGCTTCAAACGTATTGTTGTCAAATATTAGGGGCTGTTTGTGTTACCATTCATGCATTCTGTGCCATAGTTAATAATCCTTCACCTCCCTGAGGTCAACAAGTTATTTCTCTATGTGTTCTTCCAATCACTGTAAAGTTTTACTTTCCCCATCCAGGTGATTCAGCTGACAGGTGACCCTCCGGCAGCCCCTCCCCCAGCCCTGCAGAGACCTACCCAGCATCTGTCCCAGGTGTTCTCCGCCTAAGTCAGAGAATTGGTTGTGACTGAGATTCAGCTTCCTAATTCGGTAATTAGTCTAGAAAAACAGAAAGAGAGATTGTTTTTGCCTTTTGATTGCAAATATCTCACTTACCTCAGGGTAGTATAACAGGAAATTCCTATGTACCCCAAATTAGATGAAGACAATTTCTTGGTCATTTTTGTTTAACGGTTGATGGCTGCTGGGAGAACTTAGCTCCATCCAAATAGCCCTACCACTTACTGCACCTTTGCTGGGGTTGGCTAAGTATTCCCAGCTCCCTAAACCAGGCAAGTGGCCTCGTTTCCGTGTGCCCATAGCAGCTCCTAGCTTGCCTGGATCTCTCAGGGACGTGTCCCACATGGCTCGGCTGGGCTTCCGGGCGCTTACCGACAGGGCCTGGCAGAGCAGCTCTGCGGATTCTTCCTTGAGGTTGTTCCCTGTAGTGAGGGCGGCGTGTCAGCAATGTGCTGTAGACTGTGGCTCTCCTTACCCTCCCACACCCTAGCCCTGCCCGTTCTCTTCCCTCTGGAACAATCAGACGTAGAAAAGGTAGCAAATACTGAAAGCAAATGTTGTGTGAACATAAAAACAAAACAAAACAACTCAACTATTTACCGTCTTCTTGAACATTCTCTTCTCTCTCTGCCTTGCAGTCCTAGGAGCTGATACATCAAACCCTGTGCATGCATTGGCAGCATCAATCCCTAGCCTCATCCCTAAAGTCTGTCATCTTATAAATATGTTAATCCAGGCCCAAGCAGCAAGGATGAAACCAGGGTAAAGGAGTGAGACACTTGCTGTGAGTGCAAAATTTGAGGAATGCCATAAAACTTATCAAGAAGAATAATACCTTTTTTTTTAATTGCAAACACAGTCCTACTCTGTGCCCTGTAGAGTGCTGCGGCATCATAGCTCACAGCAATTTCAAACTCTTGGGCTCAAGTGATATGCTTGCCTCAGCCTCCCAAGTTGCTGAGACTACAGGCACTCACCACAATGTTGGCCTAATCTTTCTATCTTTAGTAGAACCCTTCATAATCTTCATATCTCCAGCACCTAAGTAGTGCTTGGCACGTAACAGGTGCTTAATAAATGCTTACCGAGTGAATGAATGAATAAAAGAATGCATTCACGGAAACAGAAATACTTGTTTGGCCATGTCTGTTATCAGTACAATAAAATGAGATATAAGGTAGCCAATGCATAAAATTAGGTGATTAGTTATTCCAATTATTATATCAGTGGCTACTTAGATAGCCACTGTAGTGCAGAGGTGGTTGTAAGAGAATCATTAGGGAAGCCTGATAAAATAGAGATAAAATATGATTCAGCAGTCTGGGATAGGGATGGGTGATTTGTATTTTTACAAAGAGCTTTCCGTATTATGTTAACAACCAGAGAAATCAGGAGGAGCTATATATATTGGAAAAAAAGACACAAAACTGCCCCTATTTGCAGATATGATCACCAATCTAAATAATCCAAGGAAATTAACAAAATGGTAGAACTAATAATGAAGTAACTGGATATCAGATCAATGTATAAAAATTAATCAAAAAATAAAATAATAAAAGATCTAGAAATAATCTTAGTATGAAACATGCAAGACTTCTAATAAGAAACTAAGACTTTATTGAAGAGAAGGAAAAAGACCTAAAGAAATGCAGAGAGAAACCATGTTCTTAAATGAGGAGACAATATTGTGAGTACATCCATTCTTTCCTAAATTAATCTAGAATATTAAGTGGAACCCCAACCAGAATGAAACTTGACAAAATGATTCTGCCAGTAAGATTAGCCCCCATCACAGAATCCCAAAACTACAGATGTTGGCGTGGATGTGGAGAGAAGGGAACACTTCTACACTGCTGGTGGGAATGCAAGCTAATACGACCTTTTTGGAAAGAAGTTTGGAGAACACTCAAGGAACTAAAAGTAGACCTACCATTCGATCCTGCAATTCCTCTACTAGGTATATACCCAGATGATCAAAAATTATTTTACAACAAAGACATTTGCACCAGAATGTTTATTGCAGCCTGGTTCATAACAGCCAAGACACGGAAACAGCCCAAGTGCCCATTGACCCATGAATGGATTAACAAATTCTGGTATATGTACACCATGGAATACTATGCAGCCATAAAAAGATGGAGCCTTCATATCTTTTATGTTTACCTGGATGGAGCTGGAACATATTCTTCTTAGTAAAGTATCTCAAGAATGGGAAAAAAAGTATCCAATGTACTCAATACTACTATGAAATCAATATATAACCGCCTACACACTCATACAAATGGCAAAACATAACTATAGTACAGAAAGTAGAATGGAAGAGGAGAGAGAGGGGAGGGGAGGGGGGATAAGGGAGGAGAGAGGGTATTTGGGGGGACCTCACCTAATGAGCATGATGCAATGGTACATTTCAAAACTATTAAGAAATGAGTATAATTGTGATGGATGTGTTACTTAGTTCTATGTAAACATTTCACATTGTATATCAAAGCAGTACCCTGAACCCCATAAATGCATCAATGTACAAAGTTATGATTTAATAAAAAATAATTACCAAAAATGATTCTGAAGGAATCATTCACCTGAAGGAAAAACTGCACAAGAATAGCCAAGATTATAAAAAAGGCAGTCTTTATCCATTCCCAAATAAAACATAATATGTACTTCTATAATTAATATATTAAATATTATCAAATTTATTGTATTAATCATAACTCTGTTATTAATAACATAGAGTAATTATAACTTTAATACTCTGAATAAGTAGTTTTTTTTTTTCTGAGACAGAGTCTCAAGCTGTTACCCTAGGTAGAGTGCCATGCCATCACAGTTCACAGCAACCTCAAACTCTCAGGCTTAAGCAATTCTCTTGTCTTAGCCTCCCAAGTAGCTGGGACTACAGGCACCTGTCACAATGCACAGCTATTTTTTTTTTTTGTTGCAGTTGTCATTGTTGTTTTAGCTGGCCAGGGCCAGGTTCGAACCTGCCCGCCTCAGTATATGTGGCCGGCACCCTATCCACTGAGCTACAGGTGCTGCCTCTGAATAAGTATTAAAACAGTATAGCATTGACATAAATAGATTAATGAAATGGAATAGAGACTTTATAAAGAAACCTTTGAGAATTTAATATATGTTTAAAATGACTTTTCAGATTAGTTAGTAAAGAATGAATTACCATATTTTGATGCATACGGTTTTGGGGGGGTTATTTGTTTGTTTTTTGAGACAGAGTCCCAAAGTGTTGCCCTGCGTAGAGTGCCATAGGGTCACAGTTCACAGCAATCTCAAACTCTTGGGCTTAAGTGATTCTCTTGTCTCAGCTTCCCAAGTAGCTGGGACTATTTTTTGTTGCGCCTGTCATTGTTGTTTAGCTGGCCCGGGCCAGGTTCAAACCCACCAACCTCAGTGTACATGGCTGGCGCCATAACCACTGTCCTACAGGCACCAAGCCAGGTGTTTTAGATTTTAATCCACTTAATCTTTACAATCACTGTCTGAGGTAAGTAATGTAATTATCCTTAGTTTATAAATGAGAAAAATGAGGCACAAAAGGGTGAAATAATTTGTTGAGTATCAAAGCTGAGATTTGAACTCAAGCACTGTGGTTTCAACACCCACATACTTAACTCTTTTGACTCACAAACATTCTGCTAATAACCCTTCTGGGGATGGTCCGGGGAAACAGACATTTTGTTGGTAGAACTGTAACCTGGTATAGTCTTCTTAAAGGGAAATTTGGAAACTAATGTTCATTTTTATTTATTTATTTATCTATTTATTTATTTATTTATTTATTTTTTTT